GGAGAAAGAAAAATTAAAAGAATATGACCCGCGAAACGAAAGGGCAAGGGCAAAAGAGTAAAACTGATTGAAAGGACAGTTAAGAGGCGTCTTGACAGTTGCAATTAATGCGAACGACGTAGGTTGGAGTAGTGGCACACGTTTAATTGGTTAGGGGGAGCCACGTGGAAGGCAGTTATCATTGCGTGGGAAGCGAATCATTTCTCAGAGAAAGAGGATTGTTTCTCAGAAAAGAAGAATAGTCATTCAGGAGGGGGGAATCGTTTCTCGGAGTAAAAGCCTCTGTTGTAGTTCGGTTGGTCATTTCGGCCTAGAATGTATATCCAAATCTCAATCGTTACCCAGGAGGGATATCCCGGATAGGATTCACAACCAGGATAATTCAAAGCATTATGTCCCTCTTCTCTAGTGAAGTAGAATATAAATTTAAACTGGGGTAAAAGGCAAACCGAGATACCGCATCTACACGAAAGAACAGGACTCGAACATCCCGACACCCTGAATACTTAGTCTACCGGGCTGGGGGAAAACTGTTATGGATCCGAGTAAGGCCCATATCCATAGAAAGCTCAAGCAATAAAAGCCCAAAGGTAAGCACTATAAATAGGAGCTAAAGACCACAGGTATGACAGATCTCTTTTAACCTATTTTTATGCAATCACATAAGCGCACACTCACACCCCCTTTGGCTAAGGTCGTCATATAGTGTGTTGCGATTCGCTGTCCCCAGGATACCTAATTCATAGGTATCCAGAGAGAAAGCACCAAATCCTACATCAATCATCTAACTTCAGGTTAGACATCTCTGCCTCAGGCAAAACAATATCTTTTTATTTTTTTCTTCTTATTGAGTTCTCCGCCAGCTCTATAGATTTCTATTTCTTATCCATATGCCATTGCCTTTAAACATTTGAGTGGGAATGCTATATTAGCTTACCTGCAACTCAAATTCTTATTAAACTTTTGTTTAGGCTTTGTTTGCTTGTAAAGAGTTAAACAGACCAAAGGCAGCATATTTTCTGTATGCATTGTGCTTTTCCTTTCCTTTGGCCTCTTCCAAACAAAGACTGAAGGTTTGACATTGATTCTATGAAAAGAATGTATTTAATGAGGTATCAAGCTTTTTTTCTTGTATTACTTAAGAAACAGAAGAACAAAAAGCAGAAAGAGGAAAAGAGAATTCATCGTGTATTATTAAAACTACATAAACTTTACATGTATATCATCTTATATATGTACATCTACTGAATACAGAAAGAACAAGAAGGAGGGAAAGTTTGTTACAACTGAATCCAGCATGGCAGTTAGTTACAACTGAATCCAATGTGGCACTTATACAGAATTCTAGAATGAAAAATATATGGTAATACTCCCCCTCAAGATGGAGAGTATAAATTTAGAACTCCCATCTTGGAAAGAAGTGAATGAAATGGAGTAGGAAGTAATGCTTTAGTGAGCATGTCAGCAAGCTGGCTGGAAGAGGGAACATGAAATGTGCGTAGAGTTCCCTTGTTAATGTGTTCACGTACTAGATGACAATCAATGTCAATATGCTTCGTGCGCTCATGGAAAACAGAATTGGCAGCAATATGAAGTGCAGCCTTGCTGTCACAAAAAAGATAGGCTGGACCAGTATGAAGAACATGTAAGTCACGTAACAGGAAGAGAAGCCACACCAATTCACAAGTTGTAAGAGCCATGGATATGTATTCTGCCTCAGCTGATGACCTTGAAATGGTGTTTTGTTTCTTGGACTTCCATGATATTAAGGAATTACCAATAAAAACACAAAAACCAGATGTAGACTTGCGACTATCAGGGCATGAAGCCCAATCAGAATCACAAAAAGCTTTCAATTGTACAGTAGATGAAGAGGAGAAGAAAACACCTTGACCAACAGTGGACTTGAGATAAGCCAAAACCCGATAAGCAGCATTTAAGTGAGGAACCCTTGGTGAAGACATGAATTGACTTAATTGATTCACCACATAACAGAGATCAGGCCGAGACACAGTAAGATAAAGTAGTTGTCCAATGAGCCTACGGTATTGTTTGGGATCAGATAGCAAATCACCTTCATGTAGGGAAAGTTTGAGATTAATCTCCATAGGTGTGGAATGAGGTTTGCAGCCAAGTTGTCCTGAATCTTTGAGAATTTGTAAAGCATATTTTCTTTGACAAAGAAAAATACCCTTTGGAGAACGAGCTATCTCCAATCCAAGAAAATACTTGAGAGCTCCTAAATTTTTTAGTTTAAAATTGCTGTCCAAAATTGCAGTTAAGTGTTGCAGCTCAGAAGAATCATTAGAGACAACAAGAATATCATCAACATAAACCAATATGGCAACAAATAAAGTAGCATGCTTCTTAACAAATAAAGAGTGATCAGCTTGAGACTGTGTGTAGCCAAGGGAAAGAATAGTAGTAGAAAACTTGGCAAACCATTTCCTAGAGGCCTGTTTCAATCTATAAAGGGACTTGGTGAGACGACAAACAACATTAGAAGGCAACTCCCCCTTACTAGAATACCCAGGGGGAATTTTCATATATACCTCTTCAAGCAAATCTCCATGCAAAAAAGCATTGTTGACATCCAATTGAAGGAGATGCCAACCATGTATAGCAGCAAGAGCAAGGAGCAATCTGACAGTAGTGATCTTGGCTACAGGAGCGAATGTTTCAAAAAAATCAACACCTTCTTGTTGATTAAAACCTTGAGCAACAAGTCTAGCCTTGAAACGTTCAAGAGAACCATCTGAATGGTATTTCACACGATAGACCCATTTACATCCGACAACAGGTTTACCAGGAGGCAGTGAGGTAATATGCCATGTATCATTAGCTTCAAGAGCATGAATTTCAGCATTCATTGCAGCAATCCACTCGGGTAATTGTGATGCTTCAGTGTAAGTAGTAGGTTCAAAATGTTGAGATATGGCATTAACATAAGCTAGGTATTGGTGGGTTAAGGTGATCATAAGTAAGGTGGTTGGAAATGGGATGGGCAGTGGATGGGGAACAAATATAATCTTGAAGATAGGGAAGTGGTTTAGATATACGAGATGGTCTGGATGGTAAGTGTGCAGATGGTGTGACAGAAGAGTCTTTGGGAAAAACAGGGAAAAAAGAATCGGATGGTGGTGAAGAGGCAAAAGGAAATATAGTTTCTGAAAATTGGACATCTCTGGAAATTATAATACGGTTGGAATGAAGATCCAAAACTTTGTAACCCTTATAACCACTAGGATATCCAATGAACACAGCATGTAAAGATCTTGGTGAAAATTTATGACGAGTTCTGGACAAGGTGGAGTAATGGCATAGACACCCAAAAACTCTAAGGTGATCATATTTAGGAGGCTTGTGACAAAGAAGTTCAAAAGGGGTTTTATTGTTTAAAAGTGGGGATGGTGTTCGGTTAATGAGGTATATTGAAGTGAGGACACATTCAGGCCAATACTGCAAAGGGATGTTTGATTGAAAATACAAAGCTCTAGCTACATTGAGGATATGTTGATGTTTTCTTTCAACAACTGAATTCTGTTGTGGTCTATCCACACATGAATGAAAAACTTGAAGACCTTTGGATGAAAAAAAATCAGATAAATGAAATTCTGGGGCATTATCACAACGAATAGACTTTATGGGAAGATTGTATTTGGTAAGCATAAGTGTAAAAAATTGAGGGAAAACAGTATGAAAATCAGATTTCTGTTTTAAAAAATAGCACCAAGTAAATCTGGTTGCATAATCAACTATAGTCAAAAAATATTTATAACCATCAACCGAATGAATATGAAAAGGACCCCAGATATCACAATGGGTTAAGTCAAAATCAGATGTAGACATTTTTGGATTTAGTATAAATGATAATCTCCTTTGCTTTGCAATAGGACAAATCAAGCATGGAGAAGAAACACAATTATTATCAGTAAAATGTAAATCGGATTTCATTGTATTTAAAATTGGATGAGACAAATGACCAAGACGAAAATGCCAAAGAACAGAACTTGGCATACTGACAGAAGAACAAAGGGATGGGGGAACATCAATTTTGGAAAAAGTCAAAACATCTAAAACATAAAGACCACCAATTCTCTTAGCAGTCCCAATCACTTTGGCCGATGAAAGGTCCTGAAGAGAGCAAGAGGACAAAGAAAAATTAGCAACAATGGATGAGTTTTGAGTGAGAGCACTGATTGAAAGTAAATTAAAGGAAAATGCAGGAACATACAAAACATTATGAAGTATAATGGAAGATGAGAGTTGAATGCTACCAATAGATTGAACAAAAACAGAAGTGTTATTTGGTAAAGACACAACAGAATCAGATGCATGAGGTTGTGAAAAGAAAAATTGAGTTGTGCATGTAACATGATGTGTAGCACCCGTGTCCAGAACCCAAGAGGTTAAAGGAAAAGAAAGAGGACACCTACCACTGAAGCTGGCAACAGAAGCAGGAACCTCGGGGACAGGTGACAGTGGTGTGTAAGATGAAGCTGAGGATGGCTGATTGGTAGGTGGAAGAAGACTTACGAGTTGTTGGTATTGAGACTTAGTCAACATGGGGTTAGTGGAATCAACCATATTGGGAGTAAGTGTGTTGAAAACAGCATGGGTTGAGGGAGTGAATGAATTGGGCCGTGCAGTTTTGGGCTTGTACCCAGGGGAAATCCATGAAGCCTGAAACATTTTTCCCTTGTGTGACCAGAAGCATGACAGTAAGTGCATTGAGGACGAGCTCGGCGAAATGGAGAAGAAGAAATAGCTGCCATTGGAGTAGATCCAGAAATCGAAGAAGAACCTGTAGCAGTAGCAGAATTCAGTGATGGTGAATCAGGCAACACTTGCATAGGATTTGTAATTTGTCGTTGCCCCTCCTCCTGAAGTACTAGAGAAAAGATCCTGGACAATTGAGGAAGAGGCTCCATGAGCAAAATCTGAGCTCGAACAGAAGAAAAAGAATCATTTAATCCCATCAAAAATTGAAGAGCATGATCCTATTGATGGAGATCTGAGATCAAACGTGAAGCACCACAAGTGCATGTAGGAATTGGAGAGTGATCCAGGAGTTCATCCCAAAGAATTTTAAGACGTGTGTAATATCCATTAACATCAAGGCTACCTTGAGTAAGAGATGCGATCTGTTGCTTCAATTGAAACAGCTTTGGACTATTGGCTTGAAGAAAACGAGTGCGAAGATCTGTCCAGATTTCAGATGCAGATGAGAAATAAAGAAGACTATCAGAAATCTCCTTTGAAACAGAGTTGAAGATCCAAGAAGTAACCATAGAGTTACAACGATTCCAAGATGGAAACAAGAGATCATCAGAAAGAGGTCGTGGAAGAGATCCATCAACAAAAAACAATTTGTTCTTCGCTGATGAAGCAATCATCATAGCACAATTCCAAGAATGAAAATTAGATCCAAGAAGAACATGAGTGACGAGAGTGAGACCAGGATGATCACCACTGCTTAAAAAATAGGGACTACTGGAATCCTCCATGGATGCAGAAGCTGTTACAACCGAAGAGGTAGTGACAGAACGAGAACTAGCAGCGTTATTGGAACCACGAGCCATGAAGAGGATGGAATTTCTACTGATACCATATTACTTAAGAAACAGAAGAACAAAAAGCAGAAAGAGGAAAAGAGAATTCATCGTGTATTATTAAAACTACAGAAACTTTACATGTATATCATCTTATATATGTACATCTACTGAATACAGAAAGAACAAGAAGGAGGGAAAGTTTGTTACAACTGAATCCAGCATGGCAGTTAGTTACAACTGAATCCATTGTGGCACTTATACAGAATTCTAGAATGAAAAATATATGGTAATATCTTGATATTGCACTATGGTACCGTATAACAAGATGTGGAGTATAAAATTAAACAAAAAGTCCTGCAGGTCCTTAACAGGAATCACGTATTTGATATTTGGTGTACTGTTTTATTGAAATCCATTTGTAGTTTTGATATTCTAATTGTTACTCGTTATCCATGCATGTAGATATCTGTAGGCATATATTAATATTGAATATGCCTGTGTATTAACTTTGTCTAGTCTTATGATAATTTTATTATGTGTTGTTGTGCTGGTTGATAATTATAGATATACTAAGTCATAACACAAATATCTTCATAAATATGTCTTAAATGTTTATTTTATTATCTTTGCTGATCAATGATATTAGATTGCCCAAATGCAATAGTCTACCTCTAAGGAACTAAATCTAATTATCAATATTGGGACATGTGTGCCTTGTTGCAGCTTTGTTGGAAATCGTGGTTTGTGTGGAGTGCAAATGAATTCAACATGTAAAGATGATGGTTCACCTGAGACAAATAATCAGTCTCCTTCCTCGGGTAAAGCTGCTTGCTTTTGAACCAATTGCTTAATCCTTCATTTAACCTCTCACCAAGCTCTTTGTATCTTTGTTTCCGTTTCTTTCTTTTAATGATGTATTGTATTTTCCAATAAATATTTTAAATAGAACATTTGAGCCTTCAGCTTTATAGATATTATGGCTTAATATTTCCGATAAAAGGTGGTGATTTGAGTCCTCAACTGGTTTAAGATGAAGTTGAAATGAAAAGCGAGAAACTCTTTCTGGAGGGTCTAGGGTGGTACCATCAGGCTTTTTTGTTAATATACAATCATGGACCTATCTTGTCATCTAAATGAGGATAAGGTAGAGTCATGGCAAGGTTCTGGTGACATTTCTTTACCTAATTCAGACTGCAATCAATGGAAAATATGGGAAATTTTGCATTTGGTTCTTTGTGTGTATGCTACCAAGTTGACCAGTATAGACTAGAGTCCCACTATTTTTTTTGCACTTGAAATTCTGTTTGGTGGGCTATTGAAAACAGTCGACTATAGAGACTAAAGAAACTAAATAAACGAAGGAAAAAATTCAATAGGTATAAGCAAAAAAAATATCCCCATGAAATCTCGGCTTGCGAAGATAGGGGTGAGAAATTTTTTTTGCATAACCTTATCCTTGTTTTTTGCAAATCGATCCCATGATCTTACGATCATAAAGGAGTAATTTTACCATTATTTCAAGCTTGCACTCTATAATAGGTATAAGCAAGCTTGTTAAAAATAGATTAAAAAAATTAGAAACAATTCTATTAATGTGTTAACGAATGACCTTTACTTTTGTATTTAACAAAAAAAATGATAGTTTATTTTAACTGAATTTGATGATACATTTGGTATTAGTTCATGGGCTTTTTCCAGAGCGGATGACTCCGTAAGAATAGGAGTGTTCAAAATATCCAAAAGAACCAAACCAATCCATAACCAAACTTTGTATTTAACAAAAAAAAATGATAGTTTATTTTAACTGAATTTGACGATACATTTGGTATTAGTTCATGGGCTTTTTCCGGAGCGGATGACTCCGTAAGAATAGGAGTGTTTAAAATGCCCAAAAGAACCAAACCAATCCATAACAAACTGTTCCACATTTAAAAAATCGGTTTCATATCAAACTGCATTTTATTTTATAAACTGGTTATTTACCAAACCATAAAAATAATTGGTTATCCATGGTTATCCATAACCAAACTGTTTTACATCCTTCAATTTCAGAGTTTCTTCGACCTTCTTCGAGAAATGACTGCGTTTTGTTTCATTTTTGGTTTCGTGAACTTTGAAGCAAAACCCTTGTTCTTGTTCTTTGCAAATTTGGAGTGAGAGTTTCAAAGAATGCTTTTGGGGGAGGAATTGAGTGCGGTGGAGATCAAGTTTTCTTTGGCGCTGTTTGTAACACCCCGTGTATACCCGGTTTGTTATCATATCATTGTATTAAGCTATGCTTAATTAAAATACGGAATAAACTTTTTCTTTTAAATTATGACGTCATTAATCTTAACCAAGTTGATTAATGAATCCTTTTTCATAAAACATTGCCTGTATGTAAATTTGCAACATAAACAACTAACTAAACTGAATAACCTCATTACTTAAATATAAATATGTGTGTATCTAAATCACGGAACTACAACACGTAGTCCGGACCATATTCCTGATACAATTATACAGCTCGAATCTAAAACAACAAAGTCAAATCAATGTGGCATGAACAACTCCCATGCTCGCCAAATAAGGCAACAAGCCCAACAGAGTCTCAAATCATAAAACAATATAAGGCAATAAAACAGAATAACAGCCAGGCATATCAGCACAACATCAAATATTTCAACTCAGCTCCGGCCTCCTGCCGCCCGAGGTCTAAACTCCCGAGTTACCTGAACCTGAAAATGTGCCCCAAACGTGGGGTGAGATTTCTAAACAGAAATCTCAGTAAGACAAGGGGTTCTCAAGGATTTCTCCACCCCAAGCTCACTTACATATGCAATATAAGTTCTAAAAGCAGTAAACAGTATAAGTTCCAAAATCAGTGCAATGCAGCAGAATAATCATGTCATGTGTGTCAAATATTCTACTGGCTAGAGAAATGCAGGGTTTACATACGTCTATTACCTACAATCAGTGCAAGACACTACTTGCACCCACCCACAGAATCACCCTATGGTATGTCTCCTACATACACAGGCTTACCATCTAGGTGGAACAACACATGCATATCATAAGGCACTTGCACATAACAACTCAACAACATTTCAAATATCAATACATGAAAACACATCATGCATATAAACCATTCCCCCATGGGGTATGGTGGAACCAATAATGGCCAAACCGAGGACATGAAAGCTTACCTCGCAAGCTAACTATCCAACACAAGAGTCCAACCAAGCTCAAGGTACACAAACAGCAGAATCACAATCTGTTTTAGACCAGCAATCATATCAACATTCATCATCTAATAATTCAAGACACAATAACAACGTTTTCTTATTTGTTTCATGTCTTTAGGCTTCTCACAAAGTCATAAACCCTTAATCACTTAGATTCTGACTTAGTTAGTTATTACAGAGATTCAACTCAACCAATCTAGGGTCCATAAACCCCAAATACAGTTCTGTATGAACTGAACAGTCACTGTCTCGAAATTCTCAGAATATCCGGATATTTGTCGAGGCCATATCCGGATATCATATCCGAATATCCATATCCGAATATCACAAACTCCATATCTGGATATCAATATCTGGATATTTCGCGACAGAATGCAGATTCTGCATTTCACGAAGATATCACTCAAAGGTTCCATTTTTAACACATAAGAACATTAAAATATGCATATTTAAGCTCCTTTAGACCAGTGATCATGTTAGCTACTTAAACAACTTATTAAACATGCCAAGACTCTACTTTTACCCAATAAAACTCATGATCAAAGGTGGTGAAGCTTACCCAAGGCTCAAAACAGAAAAGAGGGGTGCTCTTTGAAGCTCTTTAAACATCCACAAGGTTCTGACTTCAAAGGTACACTAAAATGGTGATCAAAGGTTGGTTCTTTGCACAAAAGATGGCTCCTTGAAGCTCAAAATGCCATCACAAAGGCTCCCACAACTCAAACCAAAAAGTCAGCTCCCACACCTCACACTCAGTAGCTAAAACTCAGAAATGGAGTAGCCTCACATGCACCCAAGGCTTGCTCTCACCTATTCAAGGTATTTTGGTGAAAGAACTAGAAGAAAAATGCTCTCTTGAAGGTTTCTATGGAGGAAGAAGAGGGTGGCAGCTCAAACTCAGAAAAATTCTTACGAAGAAGGCACAAAGAATAAACCTAGGATCATGTGTCACCCCTTATATAGCCCACTTAAGTTTTAATCGCACTATATTAGTGTTAATAGCTACGCTTAGCATTTTAATATCAAATTTTGGATTCTGAACCTAGTCATTTTTCTAAGATTTTTCATATTTTTATTTTATTTTTCGCATTTCTTTGCCGGTACGCGCTTTTACTTAGCCAGTATCAGTTCTGGCACCAATTCTCATTATTTTGACTCCAAACTTGTTATACTAGTCCTATATATTATTCTAGTAATATATACACATTTTTCATAATTTTCCGGGATACTTCATCGGTACGCATTTATACCGTGAAGCAGAACCAGTATCTGTATTTTTCGTCAGAAAAGCGACTTTCAATATTATTAATCACTTACCATAATTATGTAAGCCTTCTCATAATTATTAGGGTTAATTATGGAATTATTTCCTAATTTCACATTTAATTAATTTAAATTCCTAATTTAATAGTGCGGGTTCTTACACTGTTCCACACGTGAACCTGTGTAGAAGAGTTGTTGCTGTTGTGGCTTGTGAAAAATGCTCATGTTAATTTGTTATCGAGGTTCCACATGTGAACTTTGAAACAAAGCTTCAAGGTTAAGAAGAAGGTACAAAGGTTTTGGAATTTGATTCTTTCGTTTCTGTTGATAGAGTGTTGCGTGAAGAATGAATGAGGAAATTATTTGTATTTTCAGATTATGTGACCGTTGCGATTGAGGTTATACATAACCATAAAAATTACTTGTTATAAACCGGTTTTGAACCTGATAACCAGTTTATGGTTCATAACCGATTTTGATTTAAAATCGATTTTGAATTAAAACCAGTTTAAAACTGATTTTAAATCAAAACCGGTTACG